GAGTTTCCACATTTCAGCTGACTGCTACACACACGGTACAAAAATACTGCAGAGAGAGAGGCTGATGGCAGTGAGGAACAGTTTTCTTTCTTTAATTATTCTATTTCTTTCTTCCTCGTGTCTTGCCTGTGACATGAGATGTCCTGTGAGAAGTCGTGGGTTAACTGGCACCACAGTTCCACTTAAACCTAGACGTGTCAGCACCCTTTGCTCATCCTAGAAAAATTAGAAAATACACAAGGAATGACTTTCCAAATGAGAAGGGGAATTTTTAAAAATATTATTTTTTAAAGCTACAAAGAATGAACATCTAAAAGATCTCATGGGTCTGGGTTCTCTAGGGGTCAGCAATAGTAGCACAATCACCTGATCATCTGCTAGTAGTTAAAAGGAAAGGCCTTATCTAGAAGGTATTTAGGAGCCTGGAGTCACAGCTTTTCTCTCTGATGAGAAGCTGTGCATGCCCTAAGGTGAGTGGCCTGGTGCAGCCGCACTGGAGAGTGTTTTAAAGTTCTTGCAGTGAAAAGCTGCCGCATTTTCTTTTTGCTTCATACGGATGCATGAATCTAAGCAACTGAAGTCTGAAAGTGGGCCTGGTGCCATGGCTCACGCCTGTAATCCCAGCACTTTGGGAGGCTGAGGTGGGTGAATCACCTGAGTTTGGGAGTTCAAGACCAGCCTGACCAACATGGAGAAACCTCATCTCTATTAAAAGAATACAAAATTAGGCAGGGATGGTGATGCATACCTGTAATCTCAGCTACTCAGGAGGCTGAGGCGGTAGAATCACTTGAACCCGGGAGGTGGAGGTTGCGGTGAGCCGAGATCGCGCCATTGCACTCCAGCATGGGCGACAAGAGTGAAACTCTGTCTCAAATAAAAAGTCTGAAAGTGAATGAAATGCCTTGTGCCAGCATTCTGTACCCGTGTGGGTGACAACTTGAGAGCAACAAGTCACTGTGTTTAAGGTGATCTCCGTTTAAAGGCGTCTTTAAAGCAAAAGGAAGCAATCTCTGTGTGTTTTAAAATTATTACTGCCCATGAGCAAAAGGAAAATTCAGATACAGGTACATGGGGCAAGGAGGTAGTGAGAGGGCCTGAGGGAACAGCACACAGGTGAATGCAAAGGCATGTGCCACAACACCCAGCTAAGTTTTGTATTTTTTGTAGGGACAGTTTCACCAGGTTGCCCAGGCTGGTTTCGAGTTCCTGAGTTCAAGCAATACTCCTGCCTCAGCCTCCCAAAGTGCTGAGATGACGAAGAGTGAGCCAGTGCTTCTGGCCATCATCTCTCAAAAAAAAAAAAAAAAAAAGGCAGGCGTGATTGCGCACTCCTGTATCCCTGAATTTTGGGAGGCAGCTGTGCTGCAGCCTAAGCGACAGAGCGAGATTCTGTCTCTTAAAGAAAAAAACAATTTAAGTCTCCCAATCCCTGAATATGGAATGTCTTTCCATTTACTTATGTTTTCTTTAATTCTTTTTTAAACAATATTTTGTAGTTTTAGAGCACAAATCTTACAGTTTTTGTTAAATATATTCCGAAGTACTTTATTCTTCTTAATCCTATTATGAGTGGAATTGTTTTATTGATTTATTATACTTCTTGTGGTGTTCACTGCTAATGTGTAAATAAATAAAATAGATTTTTTTTTTTAGTTAGATTTTTGCATTTGTCACCCAGGCTGGGTGTAATGGCGCTATCTCTGCTCACTACAGCCTCTGCCTCCCAGGTGCAAGTGATTCTACTGCCTCAGCCCCCCAAGTAGCTGGGACTATAGGCATGCACCACCACGCTTGGCTAATTTTGTATTTTTAGTGGAGACCGGGTTTTATCATGTTGGCCAGGCAGTTCTTGAACTCCTGACCTCAGGTGATCTGCCCACCTTGGCCTCCCGAAGTGCTGGGATTATAAGCATGAGCCACCATGCCTGGCCTCAATTAATTTTTTTTTTTAAGGCAGGGTCTCCCTGTGTGTCCCAGGCTGGGGTGCAGTGGCATGATCATGGCTCGCTGCAGCCTCAAACTTGTGGACTCAAGCAGTCCTCCCACTTCAGCCTCCTGAGTAGCTGGGACCACAGGTGCGTGCCACACACCTGATTAATTTTTTGTTTTTTGTAGAGGCAGGGTCTTACTATTAATATGTTTCCCAAAATGGTCTCAAACTCCTGGCCTCAAGCAATCCTTCAGCCTCAGCCTCCCAAAGTGCTGCAATTACAGGGGTGAGCCACTGCAACTGGCCTATAATTGATTTTTATATTATTGATTTTATACCCCGCAACCTTGCTGAAGTTCTTTACCAGTTCTAATAGTTTTTAGTGTGTTTTTTTTTTATATACAAGAATGTGTTACCTGCAGATAGAGATAGCTTTGCTTTTCCCATTCAATTCTGGGTGGTTTTTATCTTCTTTTTCTGCCAAATTTCCCTGGCTAGGACCTCCAGTACAGTGTTGAATGGAAATGGTGAAGGCCAGGCACAGTGGCTCATACCTGTGATCCCAGCACATTGGGAAACAGAGGCAGGCAGATTGCTTAAGCCCCGGAGTTTGAGACCAGCTTGGGCAGCATGGTAAAACCCGTCTCTACAAAAGTACAAAAATTAGCGAGGCATGGTTGAGCAGCACACCTGTAGTCCCAGGTACTCTGGAGGCTGAGGTAAGAGGATCCTAAGCCTGAGAGGTCAAGGCTACAGTGAGCTGAGATTGCCTCACTGTACTCCAGCCTGTGTGACAGAATAAGACCCTGTCTCAAAAA